TTAATTGGATAAAAATTAATTGAAAAAAAATTTTGTTAGTAAAATTATTAAATTTCTGTTTAAAAACCAGCGTAAGCTCATTTTTTGAATTTACGTTTTTTTCTCAAATTTACAAACTAAGATAACCATTTATAAACCAAAAAAATTATCATACAAGTTTTTATGACAGTTTTTAAAATTTTTGTAAATATAAATTGAAAACTGAAAACGAAATGGTTACCAAACAGACTTTAAATGGTAAAAATGTCGTAAAATTAACAAATAATTAAATATGTTACCAACGTAAAAAATGACTTATCAAAGATTCTTAGGCTATGTATGGTTTGATTTTAGAATTTTTTTAAAAATTAAAAATTAATTTGGTTAAGAAATGAAAAATAAAAAAATAATTATCATTTTTATATAATTTTTATCTTTCGAGTGATTAAAAATAATTTCTTACAAATTAAATTGAAACAACCATACGTATGTATATAACCTGCCCAAAAATTAAAATGATAATTATTTTTTACCCTTAAATGATAATTATTTTTTATTTTTTATTTCTTAACCAAATTAATTTTTAGTTTTTTAAAAAAAATTCTAAAAATCAAACCATACATAACCTAAAATTTTTTTGATAAGTCATTTCTTACATTGGTAACTTATTTAATTACTTGTTAATTTTACAATATTTTTACCATCTGAGACCTATTTGGTAACCATTTCGTTTTCCGTTTTCAATTTATATTTACAAAAATTTTAAAAATTGTCATCAAAACTTGTTTGATAATTTTTTTGGTTTATAAATGGTTATCTCAATTTGTAAATTTGAGAAAAAAACATAAATTCAAAAAATGAGTTTACGTTAGTTTTTAAACAAAAATTAAAAAAAATTGACTATCAAAATTTTTTTTCAATTAATTTTTTTTCCAATTAATTTTTTTTTCAATGAATTTCTTTTCCAACTAATACTAACCGAGAGGGCAATTGGTAATGCTACTTTAAACCTTAGGGAGGAGATTGTAATTTCTAAAATGTGGGGGATGTTAATGTAATTTACCCAATGAGGGTAAAATTGGTATTTAAAAAAATTAAATTGTTAAGAGGGGAAATCTGTAATGAAACTTTAAATCTCAGGGGGAAGATGTAATTTTCAAAAGATGAAGAGAAAACTATAATAAATATAAATATCAAAAGGTGTCAGTGTAATTTACCCTAAATCGTAATATAAGAGAAATAAAATTCTATTAAAAGGAATAATTTCATCACCATTTTGGCCCCTCTCGATAATTTAAATGTTCACTTTATAATACCTGTAAGAAGATCATCCTTGTCACAAATAGCCACTTCCTCGAATTATATTTATTTGAAAAATAATTAACAAATAACATAATTTTAAAAATAATCTATTCATTTTTGAGTATGTGATCAAGTAATTTTAGTCAAAAATATTCTGGAAAAATGATCATTCATGGGGTTTTTAAAAAATTATTAAACATTAGTAAAAGTATTTATGATTTTAATTATTAATATTTATAATATTTACTTTTTTACATTAGTAAAAGTATTTATGATTTTAATTATTAATATTTATAATATTTACTTTTTTTTATGGGGGATGCACCAATAAATCCCAAATTAATAACTTATGCACTGTTTAGTCCTAAAAGTTTTCTTATAGACTGAAAGGTCCCATTACAATGTTAATAACATCAGATACAATGTTAATAACATCAGAGTCATGTTACAAACATTGGATTTCAAACATCTAATGTTCATCAAATTTCAATAATGTTTGTAAATATATGATGAAAAACATCTAATGTTCATCAGATTTCAATAAATTTTGAAATTATAGAATGAAACATCAGATCATTTACATCATTCACATCATGTTGATGTAATGGAGCATAAGAAAACTTTTAGGACTAAATGGTTCAACGTTTCAAAAACTAGGACTTATGGGTAAATTTTCATTTTTTTATATACATAGTGCTTCTGATGTGTGATTCCACTAAATTTTTTCTACTTTTAACTACTGTAGCAGTACTAGTTTTAGGATTCTTTGATAACATGATTCAACCTATAAAATTGAGTTGATTAAGGGATAACCAATTAAATCTGTTTAATAACTATAATTAATGTCACTTAAAAATTTAAGTGCCTCTTAAAATATACATTAAAATTTAAGAAAATTGTATGGGTTCGTTTGGGATGTGGATTGGTTTTTTGACTTTTTCTGGGGCTAAAAAATCTCTTTTAGGATAGGCTCTTTGGCTTTTTTGACTTTTTAAGAGAAAAAATAAAATTATTATAGTTTGGATGTAGCATTTTGTCTTACAGAGTTAAAAAGCCTATTTTATCTTTTTGTGATTATTTTAAACAAAAAACCCCCATTTAGCTTATCCCAAACAAGGGCTAATATTATTTTTGAAGATGTATTATAATTTTTGATAGGATAAATTACAAATATATCACTTGAAATTTGCTTAAAATACAGATTGCCCCCCATGATTTAGAAAATTACAAATATCCCCTTGTTAGAATTTCTTATTTAACAAAATTAACTAAAAAAATGAAATTCATAATCGTTCTTCTATATACTAATAAAATTATCTAAATTATTAATTGAAGGGTAAATTCCACTTTGCACGCTTACACTTTGCACCAAATCTTACTTTGGTTCTTACACGTGAAATCATAACAGTCAACCCCCTGTACTTCTTGTCAAATCCCGCTTTGATCCCTACATATGAAATTATGACAGTCAACCCCTATACTTTTATTCAAATCTCAGTTTGATTCCTACACAAGTATCAATGTCCCATTTCTGTTACTTTATTTTTTAATTTTTAACAAAATGACAAAATTCAGTCATGTGATAAAAATGTGACTATGAAATGAGAGTAAAAGAAGAAAATCATCCATGTTTTTCACCAATATACTTTGTTAACGTGATAAACACATGAGAAGTATATAATACAATATTTTTGGAGGGGGGATAAAAATTAGGACGAAAATGTAAGAAAGTAAATTTTTTTAAATAATAATAAAAAACGCGACAAATGAATTAAAGAGAAAAAAAGATAAATAGATAGATGACTGTGTTACCGTAAAAAATAGAGTTTCGTGATTACTTATTTTTGCAAAACCCTAGTTCATTTTCTTAATTGTTTACAATCTGAGTTTTGTTTTAGCCTAATACAACCATATTTTGATGTAAATTTTGTGATAAAGTGTGTATTGGTGAAAAATATAGATGATTTTTCTTTCTTACTCTCATGTCATAATCATATTCTTATTATATGATTAAATTCTATTAAAAATTTAAATAATTGAGTAATAGAAAAGGGATATTGACACTTGTGTAGGGATCAAAGCGAAATTTGACTAAAAGTACAAGGGGTTAACTGTCACAATTTCATGTGCAGGGACCAAAGTGAGATTTAACCAGAAGTGCAGGAGTTAACTATTATGATTTCATGTGTAGGGGCCAAAATAAGATTTGGTACAAAGTGCAAGGGTGCAAAGTGTTATTTACCTATTAATTAAAACATATTTATAATATCATTAAAAATTATTAATTGACTTAATAATTTATTAACAAAATAAACAATTTATTATAAAATTAGAAATTTCAAAGAGATAAAATATAATTTCTAAAATCACAAGAGATAATTTATATTTTAATCAAACATAAAAAAAAATAAATAAAAAATAAATAAATAAATAAAAACATTTATAACTTTCTCTGTGATGTTTTGATAAGGGAATGGCTTCTGTCCCGTTCTTAATCGGACTGGATATTGTTGGGTCTGTGGAGGTCCACTATGGGTCCCGTTTTGATAATCTAAACCGTTGAATGTGTAGAACTCGTCGAGTACTATTTGCTTATAAAAAAACACATTGATCGGATATCGATAGCTATGTGATCAAAACAGTTTTTTTGTCAACCGTTAATTTATTCACCGTCTAATTTTTTTTAATACGAAACTGATTTGATCATATAGCTATCGATATCCGATCAACGTTATTTTTTACAGGCATATAGTACTCGACGAGTTCTACACATTGTATTATTCAGATTATCAAAACGGGACCCGTGGTGTTTTTGAGTGTTTGGTTGATAAGAAAACCAGAAATTATGTATGGTTCATGGGTTTAGTTTGACCAATGCTATTATTTTTTATAGATCATGGGTTGCTATTGAATGGTGTTTCTGGAATTTGCAGAGGGTGTTCGAGCAGGAGTGAAGACAGCTTCCATTGCTTGTGTTGGCAGTGATGTGCCTACTGTATGTGATCTTTATCACTACTTTCTGTATTCACTGTGTATACAATTTCTGGATTTATTTGGGACATTTTACTGGTTTATCAGTACACTTTCAATGTGGGTATTTGGCGTTCATAACTGTTCAATAACAAGATTGATTCACATAAAAACCACCAAATCGGTAGGTATCATTTCAGATAGAAAACAATCACTTGCTTTAGGGGGGCCAAGCGAGAATTTTTGTTGAGAGAGGCAAAGTTATAACTTATACTCAACTTTTTCCTATTTGACAATCTCATGTTCATTATCTTAAGCGAAGAAAATCCCAAATATATGTGGCCAATGTGGAAATTCCGGAGGAGCAAGAACAAAATTTCATACGGGCAAATCAAAAATAAGTTTGAAACTATCGATAGAAATAATATTTGGACTTTTAGTGGGGATAAATTAATGATTAAAAAAAAAACTATAGGCAAAAATGATATTTTCAAATTTTTAGTGGGGGAACTTTTGTTTTTAAAACCGTAGATAAAAAACTCATTTCCCCAAAGCACAGGGGCAATTGCCTCCACTTGCCTTATAATGTGTTAATGTAAATTGTGTAAATGTAAATTACCACTACCACTCACTCCACCTACCACCTCCACTTCACTCCACCTACCACCTACACCTACTACCACATTCTCTTCTATATATAGGAATTGTAAACATCAATCAATACAATCAATCAATAATATATACAATTTATCTCTATCAATATATTTTTTACATGGTATCAGAGCAAGGTTGAGAACCTAGTATTTTCGCTTCACCGGCGGGCGGCAGCCTCGCCTTGGCTGCCCGCCGGACCTCTCATCTCTCAACAATGGCAACAACCCTCACTTCTTATCTCTCTTCCAAGCCCAAGACCCAAAATTGGATCTGACCCAAAATTGGATCTAACCATCATGCAGTTTCTGATGTCCAGCCATCTTCGCAGCTTCTCTCAACCGAGCTCTCATTTCATCTCCTTCCTTGGACACCATAGCTAGTTTCAGAGCCTTAGCTATGTCGTCTCTGCTAAACGACCCATCTTCACTTCTCTCCGCTTCAATCGCCAAACCCTTTTCAACCATCAACCTCGCATTCAAACCCTGATCGATTATCAATGGAAGAACCACCATCGAGTGTCCAAATTGCAGTGTTTCAATCACCGATCCCCAACCTGCGTGAAACAGAGACCCTCCGATTGATGGGTGTTCCAGAATCTCTCTCTGCGGTGCCCATCCGAAGCTCACTCTCCCTCTCTCCAATGTCCGATCAGTGAATTCAATCGGCACAGAATCGAGATCTTCAATTGCCCAAGTGGGTTTTCTCAGAGCCCACAAAAATGGAAGCTCCGATTTCTCAAGCCCATGAGCGATCTCGTGAATTTCTTCTTTGTTGAGTTTACACTCACTCCCAAACCCAACAAAAAGAACCGATCTGGGTTTCTGATAATCAAGCCATTTGAAGATTTGAGTCCAATTCTCATCTCTGGTTTGTTTTTGAGCTTTATTCGATTTCAATGGCGGAAGCAAACCCACTGGAATCACAGGCTTCCCAATGATCTGCTCGAACAAGCTCAAATACTCACCCTCGATCTCTCTACAACTCCGAATCGCAACAGCTCTAGAACCTTCTAGAGTTTTCCCGACTCTTCCCGCCGCGGAGATCCCGGTCGGATTATCCCCAAAAAACCCGAAAAGAGCTCCGGCGGCTTCGAATCTCCGGTACGCCACCGCCGAAGGAAACGTGACCCACTCCGGCGGCGAAGTCAGGCTCTCGATGGATGATCGGACTCTTTTCTGACCCTCGCCGGAGAGAAACTCCGGCGGGCCGAAGAACACATTGGTCGCCGCCGAGAAAGCAGAGAAGGTCAATAGAGGAACACCCAAGTCTCGAGCTACGTCGGAGGTCCAATGGGGGATGAAATCGGAGATGATCCAGTCCGGCGAGTGATCGGAGACGAATTGCTTGAAGGGTCGGTGGAGGAGATCGAAGGCCATGGTTAAGGAGAGGAGTTTCTCCATGGGAATGTCGACGGTGGCTTCGGCGTTTTCCGGCAAGTCGAGCGGCGGAAGTGGAAGCGCCACCGGAGTGATGAGGGCGGCGAGAGGCGGCGGAGGGGTGGGGAGGCGGCGGAGATTGTTTGGGGTTGAGATGTAGGAGACTTTGATGCCGGCTTTGGCTAGGGATATGGCGAGCTCGTGAAATGGCATCATGTGACCGAATGCTAGCCATGGAAGGAGAACAACGTGAATTTCTTTTCTCTCCATTATTCTCGAGCTTTGTCTCACTTTCTCGCAAAATAAAATGAGTAATTGGGTGGGGAGTGATGATGCATATGTACATGAAACCAGTCCGACATGTCTCGCTTTTGCAATAGATGCACTGACAGGATGCTTGTTTAGTTGCATATAAATATGTTACTTTATTAATTTTTTAATTTTTTATAAAAAAAATATTAAAAAAAATAAGAAAATAATATGATAATTTATAATAATTTTTTATAAAAAAAATATAAAAAAAAATAAGAGAATAATATGATAATTTATAATAATATAATGATTTATAATATTTTTGTTATTAAGGTTTCGTTTAGAATATGAGTTGACTTTTAAATTTTTTTATTTTTTTGCCAATTTTTTTATTTTTTTTTGTCTATTTTAATCTAGAGTCAAAAAGTTTCCGTTGAGATAAATTTTAAATTTTTTTAACTTTTGTGAGAGAAAAAATAAAATTATTATGATTTAAATGTAACATTTTAAATAATGTATTCTTATTCATTCGATCAAAATTTAAATCTTTATATTATGTGTATACTTAATGAAGTGTAATTTTAAATTAATGATAAATTGACTGTCGGTTATGATTTAATAATTTATTTGCCTCTCCTCAAATCTTGATCAACTCTTCAATCAAGTTTAAAAAAAAAATCTTCTTGGCATACAAGTTAAAACTTGCAATGGTGAGTCAATGTGATTAAAAATTATAATATATTTTGTTAGTTTATTAATTATTTTTCTACTACAATTTTGCTTAATTTAGTTTTTTTTTAAAATATTTTTTGTGTTATAGTTATTATTCACTCTGTTTGATTTAGTTTTTAAAATTTATTCTCTAAATGTTTTTACAAACTATAAATTAGTTTGATAAAAATATAAATCAAAAAATTAAATATTAATGAGTGACAATAGTTTAGATTAGATGTGGCATAACTGTAATATTATTATTGTTATTAGTTTAGTATTGGATGAAAACTTGTTTTACTTTTAAAATTTTATTAGATATTTAAACATTAACGAGGGACAAAAATTTAAATTGGATGTATAATGGATTAGTAATGAATATTTTTAATTATTTTAATAGATATTGGCATATATATTATCATTGGGTGTTTTAAAGAAGTTATTTTCATGCAAGTGATGTGAAACAAGTTTTTGTTTTTTGGTAAAAATAAGTGGTACAACTGACAATTTGCTTTTTTTTTTTAAACGTGTTGTGTTAAGATTAACACAATTATAAGTAGGCTAGGTTAGTATTAATATAGTTGACATGTTTAATTAAATAGGCCCTGTTTGTGTTAGATTGTTTTGACACAACATATAAACGACACAACAGATCACGATTAGGGAATCTGTTGAAGATGATTCGGTAATAACTGGCTTAATTTAGCTAAAACACAAATATGATGCACCTGGTGTAGATGCTCTTATAGTGCATTTTGTAGTGTCTCAAATAATGTTAAAAAAAAAAAAAAAAAAAAAAACACATAATTTTGAGAAGAGGAAGAAAGTGGCTATATATATATATATTACACTACAAAGTGTACTATTGAGGATCTATATTCCCACAACTTATTCACAATATTATATAATTAGATTTCTCATAAATTAAAAGTTTATCAATATTAGAGATTCACATTTTACACTAATAAATATATTTATAATGTTGTGACAAAAGTGATAGGTCTCATATAATTAATAAAAAATTAACACTTATCAAATTACATCATTATAAGTTAAATTGTAAAAAAAATTTGAGAATTTCAAACTTTTTTTCTCGAAAGCCACACATAAAATATCATGTATTAGGGATACAGTTGTGGGTCTCAATTGAGCCTTACAATTTTTCTGCGATTGATGTTGTTGGACCGTCGAGCCCGGTCCCACCTTAATAATATAAATGGTTTCTTTTTCAAATCATAATGTGTAGATATTTTTGAAAAAATAAAATAGGTTCATTTGATAATGGTAGCCATGTAGTTTTGACATTTATTTGCAAATAAAAAATAAATGATAAATATTATTTAAAAATTAAATTTTTTTTTAAATGATAAATGTAATAAACTAATGTGTATATGATTATTAGATTGGCTTAATTTTTTTTATAAATAATCTACACGTTGTGGTTTAAAAAATAAATAATTTGAATAGACCTATAATGAACTCTAAGAATCTAAATAGTAGTGTCCAATTCACTTTAAAATAATATTGTACTCTTTTTAAAATGACTCCAAAGAAAAAAAAATCCAAATATTCAAATTATGGAAAACCTATGGTGTGATACCATATGCACCGTATCATAAATTGGCATAATTTTATTACAAAATTTCATATTATTAACAGTAATCTCGCCACAAATTAATGCAATAAAAGATATCGTAATTAAGTCACAAACTTTTGTAATACCAGTTATAAATTTTAGATATTTATTATATTAATTTGTGACGAGATAACATATTTTATTATTAATATTACAAAATTTTGTTATAAAATTTTGTTAATTTTGATAGAGAGCAGAGAATGGACACCATAGTTTTCTCTCAAATTATTGGTAGAGAGGTACGTGGCATATTTTCATCCTAGGAATTGAATGTCAAAAATACTTTTGAAATTTTAGAGATTTTTAGTTCAAGTTTCCTAATATTAAATTTTTACAAAATAAAAAACATATAACATTTTCATAATAATTAGGATCCCTTAATATTTTCATAGAGATAAATTTTCAACTCTTCACGAAGAAATTTTAACTCTTCAAAAAAAAATTTACAGAGAAATTTCATATTATTGAAGAATCTTAATTAATAAGAAAAAATTTAATGATAAATGTAATAAACTAATGTGTATATGATTATTAGATTAGCTTAATTTTTTTTTATAAGTAATCTACACGTTGTAGTTTAAAAAATAAATGATTTGAATAAACCTATAATGAACGCTAAGAATCCAAATAGTAGTGTCCAATTCACTTTAAAATAATATTGTACTCTTTTTAAAATGACTCCAAAGAAAAAAAAAATCCAAATATTCAAATTATGGAAAACCTATGGTGTGATACCATATGCACCATATCATAAATTGGCATTATTTTATTACAAAATTTCATATTATTAACAGTAATCTCGCCACAAATTAATGCAATAAAAGATATTGTAATTAAGTCACAAACTTTTGTAACACTAGTTATAAATTTTAGACATTTATTATATTAATTTGTGACGAGATAACATATTTTATTATTAATATTACAAAATTTTGTTAATTTTGATAGAGAGCATAGAGTGGACACCATAGTTTTCTCTCAAATTATTGGTAGAGAGGTACGTGGCATATTTTCATCCTAGGAATTGAATGTCAAAAATACTTTTGAAATTTTAGAGATTTTTAGTTCAAGTTTCCTAATATTAAATTTTTACAAAATAAAAAACATATAACATTTTCATAATAATTAGGATCCCTTAATATTTTCATAGAGATAAATTTTCAACTCTTCACGAAGAAATTTTAACTCTTCAAAAAAAAATTTGATAGAAAAATTTCAGCTCGTCATAGAGAAATCTATGACCAGTTGAAATTTCTATGTGACACAAGCTGAAATTTCTTTAGTAATATTAGGACAAATGTCACTTTACCTCCCTGTTGTTTGGATCATGTGCAATTTACCCCCTCACGTTTGAAAATGACTACATAACTCATTTGTGGTTTGTGGACTGAAATACATCATTAGGTTTGTTAACGATTTAATGAAAAAAACTGAAATGGCCGTGTATTTTTGTCATTTATTTGGAAGGTAAAGTACACTTTAACCTCTTGTGCTTTATTTCATGCGTAATTTAACCCCTGTACTTTATTTCATGTATGATATACACCCTTAAAATTTTAAAATGAGCATATAATCCCTTTTATATCTGACACATATTTCACATTTACTGTTAAATTGAATGGAACATTCAACTACCATTTCTGATAATACCTTCTTTTTTGTCTCTATATATGTTTTAAATAGTTGTATTTATCAATTTTTATTAAAAATATTTTTTTCTCACACTTCCAACTTGACGTAGAGATAAGAAATGAGAAATGAAAGACAAAATATTAATTTTTTTTTTAATTTATAGAGAGTGATTGAGGCCCATTTTTATTTTTATTTTTTTGGGAGGGGGGGTTGAATTACTTCTTGTTTTTGTCTTCAATGATTTTTTTTTAAAATTATGTCAAAAAATTTTACTTTTTGAGTCCGTTTTGTCGAGACGAATCTAAAAAGTATATTCTTTTTTTTGTAAGAATTTGTCTTTTTTGAATTTTTTAAAAAAAAATTAAAAATTATAATTTTTCGATTCGTCTGGTTAAACTCAATTTATAAACCTAAAATTTTTTGAAATTTTTTAGAAGACATTTAATAATGATGAAAATAAGTGAAAAAAAAAAAAATGCTAAAAAAGCCACCTCCCAAAATATCCGTGGATTCTCTTTCAACAGTTGGAGTCATCCCCCAATTCCTATTTAAGCAGAGAGTTGAATAAAAAGGCTCTTGGAGTGATATTTTTGTGTTTTGACTCCTTAATTATAGCTAAAATGAGAATAGAGATGTTGGGGATTTTCGTAGAGAAATTTTAAATGGCTTCACCTATTAGATTTGTTAGAGCATTTGCAATGACAAATGTTATAATATGATTGTTATTGTTAAATCATAGTAATGAATAGAAGTATTTTATTCAAATTATAATAATGGTGCTCTAATAGAAGGCTGTTATATTTGTCATTTTAACATAGAAATTGATGTGTGTGGGATGTCCGGCTGGTTTTCTGCAAAAATGGCAGACATGACGGAGGAAGGAATGTTTTGCTAAGAGGGAGTGAGGGAAGGAGGTTTTTCATGTGAGTTGACAATTATGACAACTGTCAAAACTTGTGTCAAATTTAACATAATATTTAACATTTGTCAAATTTGACAGTTTCTATAACTTGCTATTGGAATAAAGTTTTTGCAAATTGCTATCAAATTATAACAATAACAACTTCAATAACTTGTCAGATGCTCTTGGTTAATGAGTTGGTGGGTTTGCTCCCATTTGGTTAACTCAAATTTAACTCTTCTGGTTTTTGTTGTTTGTTTGTTGTT